TGAATACAAAATGCCCAATAAGCCCCTGTTCTGTTTTATTTTGTTTTCTTATCCCTTTCCTTTTGTGACCATCCGTATTTATCTGATGCCTCCTGCCACGGCACCATGACAGCAAAGCTGGATCGTTTTCTATTTCAAGCAAAGGAAGAAAAACACCTAGAGGTAAACAGCAGAAATTTATGTCCGGTCAGTGGAATTCTCTGCTCTCCCTCTAGCACACTTAAAAGAACAAAGACTTAAAACACATGGAATAATGCTCCCAAATAATTTGCTCATTGCTTCCAAGAAAGTACTCCTAACTAGTAAGCCTTAACATTAATATACTTCAAGGAAAGTGGAAGCTATTAAAGAGAAAGTAACTACAATGATTTTTAACGGCATTATATGGGTACGAATGCCATGTGGATATTTCAAAGGTCTTTGAGATTCTCTAAGAATTTTGAAGTCAGATGTCATATACTGTGGAAGCATGGAGACAACCATTACTCAGGGGAATATGGCCTGATCTATGTTATGTTAAAGGCAGTTTTCTTAGCAACCTGAGCACTTTTATAGGAGAAGCGAGGTCTATTTTCATTTTACTCTGGGAGTTACGAAGTGAACTTTATCACTTAAGTCTGAATTAACAAAAAGTTATATGTAGAAATAACCTCTAAAAACCACATATGTGGTTAAAACATTAACACCTGAATATTCTTTTAAGTGTTCTGAAATCGCAAAATCCACATCTAAAAGAAAGTACAAAAGAACAGTCATAGATGGGGTAACACAGAATCCTCTCTACCTACATTTTTATGTAATTGTATAAGAATATACAGTTGTAGGCATGATCCATTCATATAAAAAATCCCTGAACAGGAAATAAATTTACTGGTATTTAGAACTGAGAAGAAAGGGTTGTTTCAACAGACAAAGGATAATGTGAGTTTTGCTCAAGGTCAAAGATACAGACAAGTGTATAGGTATTTCTGTTTGTGTGTGTCTGTGTGTGTGTGTGCGTGTGCGTGTGATGGGAGGTATAACTCACATAGACTAATGAGCACAAACCTCAAATACATAGTTCAGTGATTTTTACCTGTGTGTAAATACCTGTGTGTGTGTGTGTGTGTGTGTGTGTGTGTATGTGTATGTGTATATGGAAAACTATCATGACAGAGATTATCATCGGTATTCCAGAAGATTCTCCTGTGCTCTCTCCCAGGTCAAATAATATTCGACTTCTAGCACCACAGTTTAATTTCACCTTTTCTTGACCATCACGTAAAAGGAATCCTACAACATGTACACATTTGTGTCTGGTTTCTTTGGCCAAACATTAAATCTGTGCAATTCACGTATGTTGTTACATGTATAGACAGTTTATTCTTTCCGAGTGCTCCGAATCTACCACAATTTACTTATCCATTCTACCACCGATGAATATCTGGGTTGTTTCTAGTTTGGAGTTATTATGAATTGAGCTACTCTAACACTCTTCTATATACATTTTGTGTGTGCATGTGTGTGTGTGTGTGTGCGTGTGTGTGTGTGTGTGTACATAAACACAGCATTCAGTTGTCATGAATATATATCTGCAAGTGGAAATGCAGAGAAATCCCTTTCTTCAACATGCAGAATGATTTATTTCATTATTTTCTTTTACATCATATGTATTTAAAGTAAAGTTAGACATCTAGAGCAATTATTCCATCCCAGCTCAAACAGCACAATCACTCGGGAAACTTTGTTAAGAGATCCTTCCGTGCCCCCACCCCCCTGCCAAACAAAACTACTGCAATCAAAACCAAAAATGCATTGAATGGGGTAAAGAGATCTTACTGGAGAAAATAAATGTTACGCAAATGTGAGGTATTATTTTCTCTAATTTTAATTTGTTTAAATTATTCTCACTTAGAACTGAAAACTAAAGTCAGGAGTGTTTATTCATTAATTTTTAAAAATATTTGTTCACTCTCACTGCAATTCTAACGAAGAATGAAGTTTTGGACTAAAACAGCAATCATTACATTCGAAGAAAACCGGCAAATTCAAGGCATCATAGTATTTACTGAAAGAATCCTTTTTTAAAAGGAGTGACACAGGGGCGCCTGGATGGCTCAGTCAATTGAGTGTCCAACTCTTGCTTTCGGCTCAGGTCATGATCTCATGGTTCATGGGTTCTGCACTGACAGCACAGAGCCTGTTTGGGATTATCTCTCTCAATCTGTCTTCTCCTTCTCCTTCTCTCTCTCTCTCTCTCTCTCTCTCTCTCTCTCTCTCTCTCAATCCCTCCCCTGCTCAGGTACACACACATATCCTCTCTCTCAAAATAAATAAACTTAAAAAAAAAAAAAGTGATACAGAGACCCACAAAGCAATCACATCATCAGAAACAGAAAAATAAAACACTAGAAGAAAAAACTCAGATGAAAAGCTGTACATTAAGGCTCCTTCCAAAAGAGGACAATAGGAAACTTGTCACCTGAAAGTCATATGCCTAATACGGTAATGATCATGAAGAAGCCAGGGTCTCATGAAAAACCTTAATACAGAAGATTATCAAATTCTTTGGGAAGGTAAACAAAATACCACCAAACCATCTTTCCCTCCTTGCCAAAAAAAAAAAAAAA